CGGGCTTTAAGTTTGTCCATTGTTTATGAGGGTTGTAATAAAAATAAAGCCTTATGAATAACAAAGAAAACCGTGTCAATTGATAACTAAATTTTATTATTTATATTAATTATCTAATTTAGCTTGTATACTTTGTAATTAGTTTTTATAATTGAGAAGGCCAATTGAAAATTATGTACGATAAATTGTATACCTTCGTTAAATAAAGTTATTATTATTATTATTATTATTATTATTATTACTATTATTATTATTGTTAAAATCCGTAAGGCTATAAAACTAACACTGAGAATTCAAGACGGTAATGCGCAAAGCCTCGAAGGATTCTGAGGGCTATGATTCGTGTAAAAATTGGACGTTCTTGAAATGCCATTTTCCCCGCATTTCCAATTTCCAAGCGTCTTTTCAGGTTTTTCTCTTTTCTATTTCAGTTTTGAAATCACAAGTTTTTTAATAGATAAGAGTAGTATTTCACTAAGACTGGTTGAGAAAGTAGTTTTCATGAGGATTTCACGTAACGATGACATAAGGTTTTTACTATGGGAAACGTAAAAGAAAACATGACTTGACGTTTCGGCTATGCTGAAAACAACCTTCTTCGCAATAAATGAAAGGTTAAACGTAACAACAGTTTTTTTTACACAAATAAAATATTTGATTTGTTTGTTTGGATGCCCAGCATGCATCGGGGTCATGATCTCATATCCCGGATGTAACAATACACCGTCGCCATCTTTGTTTAGTTACGACTTTGTGTATCAGTTTTGATTCGTCTTGTTTTTCTCTAAATGGATCCTAAATCACAGATACCTCAAACTAAAGCCCGTAAGATAACAGTTGAATAATATCACAAATTTTTAAAACTTCATTTCAAATACTTCATTTTATAGATAGGTAGTACCTTGAAGCATGCTGTATCTTTATTGTTCCTTTGACAGAAGTCTCGTCGTCTTCTTCCATCTCGCCAAACCAAAATCTTCAAGTATCGCAAAGTAAATACGGGGAATTATTAGCAGTTATAGAAGAAATAGGAAAAGATATTCGACCAACTTATGCAGGAAGCAAAAATGCATCCGAAAGACTAAAGAAAGGTAAAAGTAAGCTTATTTGAGCGTATTATTAGCCTAGAGGTACATGTAGCCAGCCCCATGTAGCTAGCTACATTGTTAGACTAGCTAAGGTTAAGGTTATTGAGTGATTTTTTCAAATATGTTAACTTCTATTTTAACTTATTGGGCTGCCTGTGTTCATTATTCATGATAAAGGGGGAAAAGAAAGATGGAAGAAGAATCTCAAAACTTTTATTTTCTTTTTCAAGGCCTTACTTGCAAAACTAAAAATTTAGCACCTTACTCTCCCTTACCATCACATTCCCCCCCGCCCCCACCCCCACCCCCACTTCTATCACCACCACCACACATAGAAATGTCTGATCTTGCGGGCATGTTTGGCCTCTACTTAGCTCTCTCAGTGGGTCAACCATACATCTCTTGTGTGCTATTTCATTAAATCTAGTACTGGTCTTCCTGTTTTTCAATTATACTTATTTTGCTATCAATGCTTTCAGAATCCCTAACAATTCTTTTTTGTTTCCTCATTTCCACAGGAATTATGCATGCTAGAGCTCTTGTTAGGGAATGTCTGATTGAGACAGAGAGGTGTGCAAGGCAATGAGAATCTACTATACCAAACTAGCATAAGCATTCCAATATAAGAGCATTCCCTACCTTGAATGAATGAATACTTTTATTTGAATYATATTTTGAAGGAGCATATCATTATCATTAAAGCAAGTCCTGTATGGATAACATTAACTCATGGTAGGAAGATGCAGTGTAGTGACTGTTAGATCGCAATGTCCTTGGAAGCATTTTGACTGAATATTGTTCATTCTATGCCTCAGCAGCATCCATACTGAAAACTTTCCAAAGTCGTATGTAATGTAACATGAATATTGTATTTTTGATGTATCTCAGACACTAAACAAAAGTTAATAGCAAAACTTTCCTATCTCAAAAAGAATCTCTAGAATGGAGCTATAACTGATGATATGACCACAAAATCCAAAAGATTTATTTATTTAAAGACCTCAAATATATGTATCTACAGTAGAAACTAAAAAAATAATTTATTAATATGTGGGAATAAATTTATTGATCATTTGCAGTTTTGTTTTCTTAGAGTACATGTGGAGTGATTTTTTCTCAGACTGCGATTTCTCGTAGTTAATATATAGTAGTCAAATAAACAAAAGAAAACGATGGAAATAAGATCTCATAGCCCCTACTACTCTACTAACTATTTCACAGTACGAGGAAAATCAGTCTCTCTGTGAAACATTACTTTGTAATAATATTAGCACTAATTCGTGTAAAATAACACTGATAAAACTATAGAGTACAAACCCAGAAAAAGTGTGCAACCTAAATATTGCTGAATTATGATAATTCTAATGTTTGATTAATAGTGCTAAATAACAGTGCAAAGCATTGCATGCTTATAGTTAGTACTCTAGACATTGCATTATTTTGTAGTATTTAAAGCAAAAGAAACTTAAAACTGCATCTCAAATTAGATTGATGAAACATTACTCTAATGCACACTAGAGTCTCTGATTCCATTGTTTTCTTTTGTTTTGTATCATTTATCTTTAGACATCGACTAATAGATTTTGTTCCACAGGTTTTCAAAGTGCCGGCCCTCACTCTTGGAACTAGTTAGATGTTCTAAAATGCAGCAGCTATTGCCTCTTGCATAATTGCAACTTTCTCATTTTTTTGGTCTTTCAAAATCACTTTGTTAGATTTTTTTGGCAAAAATTTTTAAATTTCCTTAATAAAATCAAACATGAAAGTTATAGGCCAAAAATTTAGCGCAAGAAATTTATAGTAGTGCGCTTAATTGATGTGGCCGTTGATATAACCACTTCTATATAATGTGGGCTACCTGTGGCTTTCTGAGTGGCGCGCAAGTCGCAAGTGACGCAAGACGCGCACGTGCGTAATTACTTTTTTTCAAAAATTAAAGTTCAGTTGACAGTTTGTTTAATAGTCAAAAAAAAAAAACAAAGAGTAGGAAAGACAGGTGAGAAACACAAATGCACATGYAAAATGAGAATTAATATTTACCGACATATTGTTGCATTTCTAACTTTGAATCGAGGCTAATGTGGAAACAAGAAAATTGCGGAAAATTTCATACATCGAGAAAAGTCGATATCTGTAAGAATACCGCGCAAAGAAAATTATGATTTATTTTAATGGATGTTAGTTCACATTCTAATTCTACGTTCATTTATGATGCTTTTGAGATTTTTTTTTTGATCGTACGTGTTCTTGATTTCATTGTCTTTTTGAGCTACTTTATTTAAATTTTATCGCATTTACAAGAAAGATAAATGCGGAGTCTCTATATACTTCACTTGCGCAAACTAAGAGCCAGTCGTTTTTTTTTTCTTCACGCAAGTTTTATTTCTTTTAACAGAAATGTTACCAATGGTATTTAACAATTTAAGCCAAGACCAGAAGACGTACATAATCCTCTTCTTGACTCATGTGGTAGTTTCTCTGTACGTTCTCATCTATGTCTTTGGAACTGACATATTATGTTGGTAAGAGAAAAATGAGAGGGGCAAGCCGTACAAACGATCAGACGCACAGACAGTCAGTCATACAAACGGACAGTCATTTGTACAGTCACAAAGTATAGACAAATAGAATAAAGTCACTATACCCTTGAAATAGATGTTAGACTAATACACTTTAGTAGACCCTAATTCCATTGTTTTCTTTTGTGTCTGTTTGACTATTACTAGTTGACTGACATTTTTTATTTCACGGGTTAGATGCCTTCACTCTATAACATATGTTGTATTTCTATAAATATGATCTTATTTTAAAATTTGAAATTTGTCCTGTCCTTTTTGCTATACTGCTGATTAAAAAATAAGCCCTGATGTATTTAGGCATTGCATGATTGATACGCAGACCGCCAGACTGTAGGTGGGATTGTGCCATTAGTTTCATTCACTAGAGTGGTTTTGGTATGACTGGAAAACATTCGGTACTAACTTACAGCATGTACGCGATACGACATACCGTAACATTGAATTGGTTTTCCAAATTGTTTTCATACGGATCATCCAATCACAACACACTTTTATACTCCGACGAAGGACTAGCGTCCGAAACGTCAGTATACGTTTTTTCATCTTTTCACGGTGTATAATTTACCTTTTTATCATTACTACTGATTTCATTAGAAACATCGAAGCAGCTCACACTAGTTTTTAGCTAGTTATCTCTCCCAATCACAACACGGGCATTTACGGCTACGGTAAGAAGCACGGCTACGAATTTGGAATATTGTTTCCCTCTCATACGAAAACCGCTATTGTCCCCCTGGATTACATATACACTGATGCGCGGCCTATAAGAAGTTTCAGTCGACCAAGGGAGTAGTTTCGTTTTCTTTTCACATAATCCTTTCTCATAAAATCCTTTCTCATAAAATCCTTTCTCATAAAATCCTTTCTCATAAAATCCTTTCTTATCTTTTTGCATCCCAGGATCCGGAACTATTCGCAAGATAAGAGCCAGGCAAACCAGAAACAAAGCAGTGAAATTCGTACGATAAACAATGTTACTGAAATTCACTTAACTGAGCAGTCGTCAGATAGCGAAAACGTACAATTGGATGACAGTTACGCTTTAATACTGGTAGATAACATCCGAGTAATGATAAGACAGGCAGCAAATGAGCAAGTAGCAAGGAACATCATCCACCAAGTGCTATCTGAGGAGCTTCCCAAGTATTTTCACAACGATAAAATTATCGATTTGAACAACATCTTTAGTGGAATTCTAATAGAAAGCAAAGGGAACGAACCTGATGATGGAGGAGGAAATGAAGAAAAGAATTCCCTTCTCCAGGAAGATGTGATAGGGTACTGCAAGGGTCCGGAAAAAGACCAAGAGTACATGTGCGCCATTACTGACAACGAACTCATCTCCATGATTTCTGATATTTTGTTAAGCAGTAAGGCAGACTATGGTGGTACGCCTTCCTCTCCTTTCGAAGTCGATCAAGCTCCTAAATCTCCAGCGGTCCGCAGGCCTGTTTTTCTGATGGACCAAGAAGAAGAAAATCAGGAATTTGAACAACGAGCTAAAGAATCTAAGATGGGTTATAGTAACGAGGACGACTCAGTCGAAATGAGCTCTTTACCGGATCAGATGCACTTTCTTCCTGGCAACGTGGAGGACAGCTATTTTGAAAGTGCCGACCATGAAAGTGGATTGGTTTACCCTTTGTGCAAAGAAGATTTAGATGGCAGCCTTTCTTGGCCCTCCTTGTCAGGAGAAAGCAGAGTTCCTTTAGAAAACGATCATGATACAAATGCATATTTCACAGCACAAACTCCTCAGTACGCCTTTAGAAAGCCCTCTTGCGTCATTACAACCTCAAGTTGTCGATCTTGCAACAACGCTGAAGTCAACGTGCAAAACAATGAACTAACGCCAACACATGTTTTACCAACTGCAGCCCATTTATCTCTCTCAGGATCAATACAAGGGTCATTTTCTGAGGTCCTATCTAAGTTAACGCGCATCAAACGAACTGACCACAAACGAAAGACAGGTACAGCACGAGAGCTGTGGTCTTCAAATAGCCAAGAAGAAGATACAAGCATTTTCAACGCAAGTTTCTCTCTATCGTCACTAGAAGACATGTTATCCGCACCAGAAAGCATTCCTCCAACACCATCGTCTCCTGTCTTCGGTTCTCCAGAGAAGAGTCCCCATGTCTTGGGAATACGGCTTCATAAGCCTGCAGGATTTAAAGATATATTTCTATCAGTCGTAGATCATGATTACAAGACAGGGCTACTGCGCAATATAAGTGATACTTGGACCCTTGGTACCAGAGAGGAGATGGAGTTGATTCTCCATGTCGACACCGATCCTCATCTGCGCGCAACCAAGACGTACTCCGGTCGCTATTGCTTGGCTTTTTATGACAAGAGTGATCTAGATGAGTATTTGTCTAATCAAGAATCTCAGGAAGATTTTGGTTTTTCGATGTTGTGTAGTCATGACAACAGCAAGGAAGAACAAGAGGTCGAGATTCCAAGCGAAGAAGAATATTTTGATCTCTCTTTCTTTAGCCATGCAGAAGTGTATGGACGTGAAGAAGACCAAGAAATTGTAAGGGAGTTGTTGCAAACAAATGATCTTGAAGAAGAGGTGGAAGAAGAGGAAGAAGAAGAAGAAAAAGAAGAAGAAGAAGACCTTTTTAACCATGTAGAGAGCAGCTTAAACAATTACAGTAACGAAAAAGAAAACCAACTGCAGAAAGAAGAAGAATTGCCTCAAGACGAAAAGTCTGATCAAGACCATAAACCGGCTTCTGCTGAACAGCTTTATAAAACTCCAAGAAAGTGGGGGAGAAAAAGCCATAGAATCTTAGCATTCGCTTGCCTTGCCTTGACGAGCTATTTAGCACACCGATTCCTAAAATGATTGCATTAACAACCCCACATCAGGAACAGTCATTTTCTAACTGTACATTAATTAAAGTGCTCCTCAATAGCATTGTTGCACCTGGCGAAGTAGGTTTTGGTGGACGTCAATCAAGGCGTTTTCATGGCATTCCATAGGCACGTGCCCTTGAAAACTTTGTGAGATTCCAACAATATCATGGAAACACTTTAATTGAGCTCCAACCAAAACCTTATTTGGCTTGTGTGATTGGGAAGCACTGTAACTCTTTTTAAATATTCCATTATTTGGTTCTTAGTGGTCGTTCGTTTATAAGACTATTTTTTTATCATTTTACAGCTAAGAAAGGTTTACAAAATCATGACTGCTGCAAAACAAGTTCGCTATTATCGTATTACTAGTCCATTTTGTGCGCTTTTATTTTCTGGTAAAGAATTAAACTTTAACAAATAAATTTATATCATCAAAGTCTTGCGCATGGTGTGAAAAATGAGAATCAAACTATCAATCCCTTTCTTCCCACTGTTGGTCTTCCTTTGTTGTTCATTTCCCATAGTTCTTTGCGGTATCATCACAACAAACAAGATGGCGGACTCAACCTTAAAAATTTGGTCAGCTCTGGATTAAAAGTTTATTACGATTATTAATCAAAATTATCAATGTTCGCTTTTAAGAGTCAGTTTATGTACTCATTTCTTACTAGTATAGCGTACAAGAACAGCTTTTTTACGTCAGCACTACGATTTTACCAAAGAATTGTGCTTAGCAATGACGATTTAGAAGAAAAGTTTGTGAAAGGTTGGGGAAAAGGAGGACAAAAAGTAAACAAGACAAGCAACTGTGTGGAGTTGAAACACGTACCTACTGGCCTGGTAGTCAAGGTCAGGCTTATTCATGTTTTATTCTGAAAAACATTTCATGCTAATATTTTATATTTTTTTATTTTGCATATATACTATTCGAAAATAAATCATTTTGGAATTTGCCATTAAAACTTTACAAATTTTCTTGTCGTTTCTTTATCTTATAGTGTCATCAATCTCGTTCTCTGATAAGAAACAGAGCTATAGCGAGGGAAATACTAGAGAAAAAGCTAGACTTCATGATCAATGGAAGCAAAAGTGTTTTGGGACAGGAAATCGTGAACAAAAAGAAAAGAAAATATGAATATGAAAGAAAAAGAAGAGCAAAAGAAGAAGCCATGAAACAAGGAGTAAACGATACGAATGAAAATAAATAAATATTTTATTATTATTATTTTGTTTCGTTCCTTGGTGATTGGGTGGCCTGTGGTACATGCGCAGTGGGTAGTTTGTACAATCAAAATGGCGGTCAATTTGAAGGTTTTTAATACCAAAGCAAACAAATACTCGAAGCTTAGCATCCTTAACGGTTTTTATTACCTCTCTAATAAGTCAACTAAAACGTTTTGGACGCGGCATTAACGAGGAAAGTCGATAATCTTTAAATTAATCTGTTATTTTAAGCTTGCGCACACCAAAGATCTAAACACAGTCGTTCCGCTAAGAAGACTTGTTCACTTCAAGTGTTCGCTTTTTCTTAAAATGAGAGATTTCCATCGTTAAATTTATAAGTGACCTCTTTATCATGGCTGAAGGAGTTGACTCTTCAAGAGTCGATAAAGAAAACAACAGAGGAGATAAGAGACAAGAAGGAGATGGATTCGAGTCGTTTATTCAGCAGACTGCAAACCCTGGAGGTACAAATGCTGGAGCCCTTGCAAAACTGAATAATCATGATCAAATGGCAAAAGATAAAAGTGCTGTTGAAGCACAAACAACAAAGAAAGCTGTAGAAACTGAAGGAAAGGATGGATCTCTGAAGCCAGCTAGCGCTCGCGCTGGGACTGCGTCACAGAAAGATTTGCGTCAACAATTCAGACAGCTTCAAAACCAGGAACTCATTAGAAGAATCTTGCAGTCTACCGGAGTAATTCCTAATAATTCAGCTTTAAGCTCAGCTGGTGAGAAGCAATTTAGAACAGAAAGTACTGACGAGACAAAGGAAAAAGATTCATCAAGGATACAAGTGACAGGTGACAGTAAAAGTACGATTAACATCAAATCAAAGGAACAAGAAACACTACAACTTGAAAACGAAGAAGGAAGGACTCAGGAGAAAGCAGAAATAGATTCCCAGGGGAATTCTAAAAAAGAGGAAAGGGGAGAGACAAAAATGCAGTCCAAGACATCGTTTGTTTGTACAAAGTGTGACGCTTGCAAACAAGTTCAAGATGAAAAACTCCAAAAGACACAAAGACAAGGTGATGTAACGAACAGATCTGAGGAACAGATCTCTTTTGTTTCTTTACCAAAAACTGAAAAAGACGAAGAGCACATGAGAATTGAGGAGGACAGTTTGGACTGCGTTTCAGTGAACCAGCAGGATGAAGTCAAAGTACTTAACACTGGCAAGACAAAAGTTGAGGAACTCTCTGACAGATTACAAAAGCATCCAAATCAGGAAACTCTTGATGAAATCTTAAAGCTGCTACAGAATCAGGCACTAATGCATCCTGTAGAGGGAGATAAGGAGGGTTTTGAGCCTGAGCATGAGGTGATAACTGATGAATTGCAAGATGAATTAGAATGGAGACAGCAACAGCAGCAAAAGTTCCACATGATGGGGTAAGCCAATATTAGAAATTATGCATGCAAATGAGATTTAAATGAGACAAAAAGCATTGTATCGACCCAATAGACTCACTTGTATGATTCTTATAAAAGAATACCTCATTGCAGGCTCAACTGTAAGAACAGCTTTTTTTACTAACCAAGGCCACCCAAATAGATTTTATGGAAAATTACTTGGAGAAGATCAAAGTTATAAATACAAAAAAACTTTTTGCAGGAGAACAAATGTGTATTTGGTATCTGTTGATGCATTGAATTATTTATGAATTATTTACAGAAATGTTGTGCACAACTGAGGGGGATTGCACAGGGGAGACGGAAGCTGAAAATCTTTGGGGGGCACTGAAATATTATATTTAACGCTATGTGATAATGACCGCTGTTTTGTTTGATTGTAGATGCATGCACCATAAAACTATTGAATCTATGCATTTATATTTCATGTAAACCAATATTTTGTCGGGGGGCCAGGCCCTCCCAAAACATTTTATGTGGGGCATGTGCCCCCCTGGCCCCACGGTTCCGCCGCCCCTGTGGCATTATAGGTATTATTTAAATTTCCTTATGTATACTAAAATTCTCACTCATAGAAGTAGCATTGCAAATAAAAAGAGCAACCTAATTATTATATATTTTAGCCTGTTATCGTTGTTACAACAATACTTTGCCTTGGGTTATTTGTGGAAATGCTTGGCATTGATTGGCTGAATTTGGTTTGCATGTGACCAATCAATGAAGTCAACCAATCAATGGAATATATTTGTCACTGCTGTATCTTTCTTCAATTTTTCCCCAGAACAACAAGACCAAACTTACGTGAGAAGCATTCCAGACAGCTATCGGACATGAAGAGTTTCTATGAAGGCGAAATAGGAAAGCTGCGTGACCAACTGGACAACCTGAGGGGAAACCTTACCAACCTTCAAGAAGCTATACCAGTCAAAATGCTAGAAGCGACCAATCACAAACTAGATGCAAGGTGCAATCTCATGGAGGAAATCGCAAGCGAACTGAAAGCAAAATCACAAAAGCTTGAGCAAAATAATGAAGAATTGGAAAAAACATGCTTTGACTTGAGGCAAACAAATGAAAGTCTTGAAATGAGGTGCCTCTTTTTACAAAAATCTCTTCAAGATTTTGAAGAAAAACAAAGTGAGGTGCAAAATAAAAACATGTTCCTGGAATCCAAAATTCTCCACTTAACTCAAGCTAATGAAATGGGCACAAAGAACTGCAAACGGCTGGAAGATTCCAATAAGAATTATGAAAAGGCTTGTAGAGAACTAGAACTAGGTAACCAACAACTTGAGGCTCGCATTAAGAAGTGCAAAGAAGAAAACCTGAAGTTAACCTCTGATGTGAGGGATTTACAAGGGTCATTACAAGCTGCTAGAAAGTAAGTTTTTTTCATTGTCATGGTTAAAGACTACTTTTGCAATTGGTTTGAATAAAAATTGATTGTACTGCTAATGCTTTCATTGCTATGCACTGATTATTGAGACAACAGTCTCTTAAACAGGCCAGGGATATCAGGCAACAGACTACTATTGATTTAATTAATTGTTTGGTACCTTTACCTGCTCTGACTTACGGCAGTGAATTGCCCAATTTCCCTGTTGCAACTATTTTCTCAATCATGATCAGCTCTTAAGCAATGAAAATAGAGAACAGAGGATTACTTAGGTTTGGGTAACAGAGGATTATACTATTATAGATTATACTCCTTGATGAGCTAGCTAGGTAGGTTTTTGAGGATGTTACACTGAACAATGTTGTGTTTTGTCTGTAATGTAGTATGCATTTTTCAAGAATAATGTCTAAAACTTACAAAAATTGTCATCAATTGTTGATCAAAACTTGTCAACCCAGAATATCTACTGTGTAATGCTTGAATGTGGAAAAGTACCCTCTACAAAAATTTATATCAAAATAAATATTATTGATAAAATTATTAAAACACATTGTCAATTTTTACTTTATTGCTAGACGTACACAAGAATTAGAAAGTACTGCAACATCTCTACAGAATGAAAAGAGTGATTGGGTCTTAAAGGTAGATGCTGCCCAGAAGATGGCCAAAGCTGCTCAGAAAAGATACGAACAAGAGAGACTTGAAAAAAATGATCAAGAGAATATTGCAAAGAAACTGGAGGAGCAGATGGGGGTCTTGACTCTTTCTTTTGAAAATGCTGCAAAGGTTGGTTTGGATGGATAAATGAATGAATGAGTAAATAAGTAAAATAAAGTGATTATAATGAATGAATGAGTAAATGAATGAAGATGTAAATGAATAATTTAATAAGTGAACAAAATTATGAGTTAGCTCACTGACTGAACAACGGACACGCTGACTAAATAAAGCGAATAATGAATGAATGAATGAATAGAAATAAATAATTGGATCGATGCATGTATGGATACTTGGATGGATGCATGTATAGACACTATAGATGGATAGATAAATGAATAAATGAATATGATTATATTTTAGTATGCGAACCGCGTAGCACTTATGAAATGCAAGATATAGAAATATAGATAAGTTATAGTGTTTGGGAACGAGGTTATTCCAGGCGAAAGACCCTTGGAAATAAATTCAGAAAAATTAATTTTCGACGATTTCGCGATTCCCAGCGAGGTCGGAAATTAATTTTTCCGAATTTATTTCCAAGGGTCTTTCACCCGGAATAACCTCATTCCCAAGCACTATAACTTATCTATATATTTTAGTATGTTAACTTGTGACCTCCTTGGGTATTCTTATTAAGTTGCCCKTAGCACCGGGTTCACTTAACTGTACTGGTATGCTGTTTAAAGTTGTTATTTTATAAGCATATGTTGCACAACCATAAAATGCTAATTTTTAGTCCAACCTTTTGGTAAGTGATTCTTTTTTGTTGTATTTAGGCCAAGGAAGAACTTGAAAGAAATGCAGAAAGGGACAGAGAATTACTGAAACGGGTATATTATGTTATTAATTATTTATATCTTATCTGATTCTCAATACTAATACTAATTCATATTTCCTAAATGTTTCTTTGTTGTTGAAAAAATACTTTTTTGGAAACTAAGATGCCTAGTCTGTCAAGGTTTTTGATTCCATCGGCTAAAGGATTTGATGTAGGAGAGGTGTAACTTTAGATGGGGAGAGGAGAGGATTGGGGAAGATACTGTAATGCTATGATCAACATGTCACTTGACACATTGAAACACAATCCTGCAATGTTTCAGACTATCCTCTTATACATGTAAAAATGCTTTTATGTTTCCACATATTGGTCACTTTATTTTGATTCGCTGTATTTCAAGAGCTACATTTAATAAATATATCTAGTAGCATTGTTTGTGACACAATTGAACTCTGAAATTATCTTGAACAGCTTCTGACAGAATATGATGCTCTTGCTAAAGAAAACCAACAATTGAAGGTATTTTTAAGATAAGGTTTAGATTATTTAACTGAATAAAAACTTTTAAAATTTTAACCTGAAACAGCCATGGGGCTGATCTGAGTCAGGGCATGGCTAACTTACACATTGAACCCTGAAACAATCTCTGGGCTGATCTAAGTCAGGGCATGGCTCACTCACAGATCAAACCCTGAAACAACCTCTGGGCTGATCTATGTCAGGGCATGGCTAACTCACAGATTGAATTGGAACTGTTAGGTTTTGGTGAGGTAGGAATACTGTACTGGAGAAAACCCTCAAATCAAGAGAGAGACCTACTGCAGTAATGAACTCTACCCCTTTTTGATGGCGAGACCATTAATCTGATCTTAGATCACAGGGGTGAGAGGCAAGTGCACTGARAACCAGTACACCACCCTTAAATTTACAAAACCCAAATCACATATTAATGTGACATATTAGGGCTGACCAATATTCTGTCTTGTTTTTCTTTTAAAAGGCTTCTGTTAGTGATGTGACCGAAAAAATGGACATTTCACAGGATGAGATCAACAGTCTCAGAGGGTAAGATAAGAGAGCTAATTGACTTTAGACCTTTGTATGGTACATTGTACACTTTTACTGGGACCATTATTACAAAAGTTATCCAATCACATTGCTGAGAGAAAGCTGGAGCAGATCACATGTTTGTCGTACTTTATTTAGCATCACAGACAAATTATACATTGAATATTTATAAGGAATTAGCATATTTTCAGATGCATGCTATTTACAATAACCATAAAAGGCTAATCTAGGTAAATAGATATGTTGACCTCAGCCAACCAGCTGATCTGAGAAAAAATGTTAGCCAATCAAAATCCAGAACATTTGCAAAACTGAGGTGTCACTGTTCCTCTTGAAATTTTGGTTTTCCAGGCCAATAAAGAAAACGTTGCTAATAAGTGCTTGATAACAGCGATACAATATTTTAATGATTTTTATATTTTTATTGCAAATATTTCCAAAATTAAATTTTGAATGATTTTTGTCCTACTGATTTATGTACCTTTTATTTTGTTAGGACTATAACCAAACTGGTTCAACGCAATAATAATCTGGAGGAATCTCTCAAGGATTCTCTATCTAACAATGTGAAGTAAGTGTGGACACTTGGCCTGGACACTTGGTGCAACGGCTGCGCATAATATTACGTGCAACAACAAAATTGCACTTTGCATGTATTTAGGTTAAAGTGATTGTTATATCAAAGAATATCATTTAAAGCCTGGATATTTGCTGCAATGGTTGCATGTATTGCATGCAATAAAAAAAATTGCATTGTGCATGTATTACATACATACATACTTTATTCGTCCTCTTTAAGGCTTTTCAGAATAAAGGGTATTCAGGTTAAAGTGATTGATATCTCACAGAACATTCATTTAAAGCCTAGACACTTGCTGCAATGGTTGCGCACACTGCATGCAATAACAAAATTGCATTGTGCATGTATTCAGGTTAAAGTGATTGACATATAACAGAATATAGATTTTAAACCATTTACTGCAATAGCTACTCGCAACATTGCATGTAAAGGCGCTGAAATACGAGACACAAAAAGGTCCAACTTGTCACGCAACATTGTTGCGGTGCAAGTTCGAAAACAATGTTGCTGGTTTTACACCCTATCTATCCAACTTGTCACGCAACGAAATCTTTTGTTGCAAGTTGGGAAAACTTGTTGYGAAAAGTAGAACGTAGATCAACTTTCTGCAACAAATTTGCGATTTGTTGCTCGTTTTTCATCACTCGTCCAACTTGTCACGCAAAATTTTATGTGCAGAAGCGGCCGTCATCTTGAATTATGTGTTTGTAGCCAATCAGAGTGCAGAATATCACCGTGATAGTCCCAACTTGCAACATTAGATTTTGAATGTTGCGTGACAAGTTGGATAGATAGGATGTAAAACGAGCAACATTGTTTTCAAACTTGCACAGCAACAATGTTGCGCGACTAGTTGGACGTTTTTGTGTCTCGTGTTTCAGCGCCTTAACAAAACGTTGTACGGTGCATTTGTACAGAATATGTTGCATAAGTAAAATCAAGTTCTAAAACAACAGTTTCATTGTGTGAACACGCAACGTTGCGCGTAGCTGCTGCACCGTTTCCGTGCCTTTATTCTTTGTTTCCTTGCTAAGCAACAGTTTCGTATCTTTTCAGAAACACAGTTGAATCTTTTTCGCCAAGTGTCAGAAAGACCTGGGAATCTCCTGTCCCACTGAAAGCTGACAAGTCTAAGAATGGTAGCCACACATCGTTATCTAGTTTTGAGTCTATTTTTGAGTCCAAAACCCCGACTGGGACTCCTCAAAAGGGCAAGTCATCCAGTTCACCACAAGGGTAAATATCAATGCTCAGCGCTTTTGCAACTAACGTTTACTTTACATGATGTAACCGGACCGCAGCAAATGAATGATTAAAAAATAACCATATACAGCTATTTCAAATAAGGTTGGTGATGTCTTGGTATGTGAGGTTGTTGCATCTCGCATGTTGCTTACTAAACTTAAAAGGTATTATATATATATCTTCATAGAATGGGACAATCACGAACGGAACGTTCAGATCCATGCTAGGTGAAAGCCCAAGATCAAATTGGAATTTAGAAGTTGGTTATTCATATTTATAAAATAAGTGTTCTTAATCTCGCGTTCTGATTAGTAGGGAGCACGCTTCATGAGAGCACACAGTTTCGTCATTCATGTAATTGTTATTTTAAAAAAGAAATAAAACACAACTTGCTTGCTGTGCTGTGTGGAGTTATAAAGCACTTGAGGATTGGCATATCACTCGAGAAGTGTCGAGAAGCATTCCGCTACGCGTCGTGCTTCTCCTAACACTTCTCTCGTGTTCTGCCGACCCCCGCGTGCTTTATAACTGCACACAGCACGCGCGCCCGTTTTCTATTTCTTTAGTAAATAATGTCAGCACAGAAGAGAATATACCAGAAAAACTTGCAGAAAAAGTTTGGGAAAATTCCACATTGTTGTGACCTTTCTCCATTGTGCATTTCATCATTTCACCTTCATCAACCTTTTTTTGGCTGTATATCATACTGACAATCACTCCCCGTAAAGGGGCTCTTCCACGGGGTTCACAACACACGCACTACCAATTAATTTATTATGAAGGATGAAAACCCTTTTTCAAGATACTATTCTGAAGCTATAATATGCTGCCCAGAGAAGATATACCAGCATGTGACTAGCTCTCTCAAGACCCTACTATATTGGCACACTCACATGGCTATATATGAATATAAGCTTTTCTGCAGCCACCCCTCTAATATGGAAAGTTAGTGTGCCCCCACTCATCTTCACTGACCCACTTTCATAATTCTAAAAACATTTACGTACCATCCCCCTACGTTCCCTGAATGTTATTGTAGTTCATATCTTGATTATTATTATTATTATTTTATTTCAGCATAAAGTTCGAAATACCATGGGACAAACAGACTTCAACCCCAACTAGACACACGCCCAAACACAAGCAGGACCAAAACAACTTGTCAAGCCCAGACAGGCAATCCACAGCCACCAATAAGTCTCCAAACAACTTAAAGATCAAAAAGTCAGACTTGGTCACAAGGTTTGATGTCGTTTTCGAAGACAGCACCTCAGGCGAGGAAGTAACAAGATCTCGCACAGGGCGAACAAGTCGTGCCTTTGGGGAGTCGCCAACGTCGATTTTTGTCTCCAACTCGTCCAATAATGTCACAGATTCATCTTCTCCAAATATCTTAGTAAGCAATGCTGCTGAAGCTGCTCTTAATGCTGTAAGATCAGGCAAAGTTACGTCACTAGCTGACTGGGAAAACAAGAATACTGTATCGAAAGGCAAAGAACGAAGAGAGAAAAGCGCCGAGAAGAAAAAGGCTCGACAGGTGAGGAATTAATCGTGGCGTAGCGGCAGTCCAGTCACCTATCACCTCTGAGGTCTCGTGTTTGATTCCCAGACTCGGCATCACATATGCGTAGAGTTTGTTAGTACATGATAGATGAGACGATAAGCCGTGTGGGATGGGCTCGGGTATCGTATAAGAACATGCGCAATAGGTAAATTACGAGCCTTATATGAAACGACTGAAGAAGAGTGAACATACAAACCTTTCACAACTTCAAGTCGCGTAAAAAATGTTAGTAGGTCTCTTGCATGATTCGATGGTTTTCAAAACTCGGGTCCTCCTCCGGCTTACATTACAACATTACAAGTTGTTTATGGACTTATACTAATCCTTTTGATTCCCATAGATACAGCATGGCGAAGGAATCACAGATAGTAGTGATCAAAAAAATGTCGTTTCAAAACTAGAAAGAAAGTTTTCGTCTTTGGCTGAGGAAAAGAAAAGGGTATGTACTGTAAAAACAAAATAAAGATGTTCTTTTAGTCCGAAGAAGTAATTTCAACTCTTCCAAAAAAATGACAATGACTAACGGTTACTAGTTGGGACTGCGTTGGTGCGTTAAATACAACAAGTTGAATAAGAGGGAAACTTAGCACTAACTCAGTGTGTGAAGAATGTTTGGGAAAAGTACATATATATTTTACGACCACCACTCCCCATACGGGGTTCTACATTCCCCTATATTTACAACATACAACTCACATGTTAATTTTTGCGGAGAGAAAAACCGGAGAACACCCTCGTGGCAAGGGAGAGAACAACACATCAAACAAACTCAACTCACATCATATATGATCCATTCTGAGCCGTGGCTCGCACCCGGACCACAGCGGTGAGAGGCGAGCGGTAAACCACTTCCCATGCCACCATACTAAGTACAGTTCCAAACTTTTTTACACCGTGCTTAAGTTTCCTATTCATTAACTTCGTTAAAACTGTCTTTCTTACCCCTTTTGGGGGTCACGAATGAGGGTTAAGATTATTTTTTCTTTGCTTAGCTTGAATCTACTTTGAGCAGAATTCCTGTCCACCGCGTTACGAAGCGTTCTTTGGAAGATAAGGTAAACTAGATTTTCCTCAGCACTGTATTGTATTTCTTGGGCGTCAAGATATGCAAAAAAGAGGCTTATCCGCAATGACGTTTTTATTTTAATGATTGATTCTGATTTTCAAAAAAACATCGGTATTTTCTCGCGCTCAAACTAAGCCCTCGCGGTCGCCGTTTCCTCCGTCCGCAAACTCTCGGAATCTCAGACAGCAGCGGGACCGTTATGCACCTCTCAATTTTAAGCCCGCGGGGAGGGGCTGGTGGGGGGGACATGGGGTTGGGATTTGACATTTTTGACAAAAAATAACACACCCATGGGACAACAGGGGTTCTCCTATATATTGAAGGTTTCAATATATCTTATCATGACATTTAAAAAAATCGAGATGATCTATTAACTTTGTGCGGTATGTGCGGATATCATCGTCTTCAGTTTTCCCGCCATAAGATTTAGCAGACAACGCGCGTGTCTTTCAGTAAGTACCCGCCGAAGATTCGGTAATAAAAGCGAACGTTATTCAATATTACTTTTATGAGATTGGAAATGTCCAAACAACATTTTCAAGACAAAATTTTAAATTAAAAATGACATCTATTTGAATATTAGGAGTCAAACAGTCTAGGATATGAGAGATAAGTGATAACGTTTTAGGAAAATTGAATAGAAGTGACTGCTTTGTCTGAAATCCTGCTGAGACTTCCAAACATTTAGCTATTTTCATGTTAATTAAGGCTCTTTGCCCTTTCATGTAAAATCTTTCATGCACACTCAGTTGATTTTGACAAAAGTTCATAAAGAACCTTTTCAATTCCCAGGATTGTGACAGTAAACTGCTAGACGCTGACCTAATAACTGTCTTACAGATTGACAGTAACTTACGCGCAAATTTTCGCTGAAGCCAACAGCGCTATAAACGTTCAAAAAAATCAGTTTAAAAAAGTGGGGGGAAAATATTCGAAAATTTGCATTTATCATGTTTGGTTCATAGTATTAGGCAAAATTAGTAAAAAATATTGCCTTATTGGATTCATCCAAGCCCATTATAACAGAAATGTCTGCCACATATAATGGGCGAGGATGAATCCTGAATGATTTGATTTTTTAAAAATAAAAAGATCACTATAGTGCCATAACAATAAGTTTTTTGCAGTCCAATAAGTTGCTGCGCAATATCGCATAATAATGGATAGCCGTGTGACTAAAATACGGTGAAGATTGAGAGAATTACGAAATGTTATAGTATATGTTTTTGGTTCGTTTGGTTTTTGCATTTGTTTGGGGTTTTCGCCGGCGATTTTTGTCCTCTTTGAGCAGCACAACAAGTGCTGTGAATAATGTAATTTTATACGCAGCAGGTTCTGATTCTGATCATTTGACCACGGTTAACTATGATTTGAATGTTTTAACTCACCAGGCGTTTCTGGAAAAAAGACTAGATGAAGTTATTCAAGACATAGGTTCCGTGAGAATGCAGCTGCGGCGTCACCACGCTCTTTGAAGCCAACAAAAAGAACCAAAGATTTATATTGAAAACCGATGAATACATATTAGGGCTAACTGCCTATAGTATTTAATGAAAGTCAGTAGATTTAGTCCTTATGTTAAGGCACTTTTCTATTTATATTTCTACGATGGATGTATTCTATTTTTATATCGTGAAAAAATATTTATAAAATAACTATTATGAATCTCGCGTTTTGATTGGTTGGGAGCCCGTGCTTTATGAGAGCACGCAGCACGCGCTTGCACTTTCAGTTGCGTCATTCCTATCAAAAATAAAGGTTATTGTAATTTGCATCTCATAAAAGAAATGAAAAACTTGCTTGCTGTGCTGTGTGGAGTTATAAAGCACTTTGGGATTGGCAGGACACCCGAGAAAAGTCGAGAAGCATGCTACGCGTCGTGCTTCTCCTAACACTTCTCCCGTGGCCAACCCCCGCGTGCTTTATAACTGCACACAGCACGTGCGCGCGTTTTCTATTTTTTCATTGTAGTTGAATTACATCAAGTAGAATCTTTTTATTTCATAAACGTGTAGTGATATGATGCTTTGGGTATGAAGCAAAGAACTTTCTTTCAAAAGCAATTATCTGAAATAGGTTTCTAACAGGAGATTGGTAAATCGATTTTGATCTCAACGATGTTTGTCATCGAGTTACACACGGCAGATGTCAAAGTGGGCGTCGTCTCAGCAAATGGGTGTGTACGAAAAGTACGTACTCTCGATTCCACAATCTTCTAGTGTCGATGCGTGTATAAAATCCCAATTTTTCTAGCGCGAAGTTAAAGTAAAATCCTTCCTTCTTTACCCTGCGAGCAGAGTCTCCTTTTACCTCCCCTCGCCCGTAGAGGTAAAAGGAGACTCTATTCGCTGGGTATTCATTCTTTTGAGCGTATATATTTTTGAATTAAAATTCAATCGTTACTAGTCTCTCGCTCCGACTGACATGTAACGCCTGCTGATATTTGACATTTAGAGCTTCAAAATGTGCTCCAAAAGTTTGTTCAAGGATTCTCTTCAATTTCAAAATTATACAGCCCAGTGCCGTTTTTTGGGCGTTTTTATGAACTTATTGCAAAATACAAGACTCCTTACGCCTGTAAAACCAAAGAGAAGTATATTACGATGCTCAAGAACACTATTTTCTACAAATGGGTCTTCACACAACTTTAAAAAGACGATAACAAAGCAGAAATCTGATGGTGGTAAAAGGTAAGCTTAAATAAACTGTATTTTTGGATTTCTTTAGAACAATTTTATTGCCCTCAAAAGGAACTTATGTCATCTATTTTTTTCATGTTATTTCAATGTCTTGAAGCAAAACTGAGTATCTTTTTGGCGTTGGACCATGTTATCTTGCCCTAAAAAGTAACAGACGAAAAATATCCAACATATACATTAGGGATGGTGCAGTTAATACAACAAGGTTTGGAATAACTTGAACTCTATTAGCTACTGTAAAGGTGGAGTGTCGTGGGGGGATCAGGGCTTGTGCAAATGGGGGAAAATTTTCATGCAAAATATATATATTCGTGCAAGCCTTAGGAGAGGGGGGCGTCCAACAATTTTTCTACAACAGGAAAGAAGAAAGAAGAGGGCCTTTTAAAAATATGGTGATCAATAGTAAAATGCACCAGCCCCCAACCCAGTATAATTTCGGGATGAGCTTTACACCTATTTGAAATGAGTGATCCCTAGGCCTGCTGATGTTTGAGAAAGTGAGTTGAGAGGTAGGTTTGAGATAGTGAGACTCCACTGTGTTTATATCTATTTTTTATTCCTCTAAGAGTCATGTTTCTCCTAACACTTCTCTCAAAAAACCTTCAACCTTGAACTTTTTTATTTAAAGTCATGGTATGGCTGACTCAAAGATTGAATTGGAATTTAGCTTGATATTTTGACTTTAGGACAAAAACTGGAGAATTCCAAGGAAACCCTCAAAAAAGAAAAACACCAATATTAAAAACTCTACTTACATATGATGCCGAGTCTAGAAATCAAGCCTATAGACCCCAGGCTTGAAAAGAGTGCACAATCACTCTGTTGCGTCCCTTGTTTCCTTCATGTTCTGCCAATCTCCATCTAGAAAAATATAACTTTGCAAAGCACAAGTTCACATATATTCTTCTGTAATTTTAAGGAATGAGTTTGAAGAAATAAGAAAAATGGCAGAAGACAAGGGAGTACCAATAGTCTCAACAACCAGGAAGCATTTATTAAAATTAAGTCAAGGCAGACCAGCCCAGGTCAGATCAGGTCTGCATTATATAATTATAGAACAGAATGGGCCAGGCCCCCCCCTCCCCCCCCTTCCCTGAATGGCTGGGCCCCTCCTACCCACCTTTAGGAAATCCTGGCTAATATACCCCTGTGCATAGACAAATTATGTTGGGGTAATGTAAGTAGCACTTCTCAACTGAAAAGACAATTCTCTACCATGTAATGCATTCTATCAATAGCTGTCAATTTTTGCTTGCTTTTATTAAACCCCGGGGGTGGGGGGGGGACTCCCGTATATAGACTATATGGGGATGATCCACTGAACAGGGTATGGTTTTTCAAGCTTCTTGTCATAAACAGGGTATGCAATTTCACTCAAGTTCCAATTTCTTCCTGTGCTTCCTGTCATACTCAGGGTTTCTCCTTTCGTATTGACCAAAACTGGTTACTATGGTCTTCAAAAAGCGATACGCGAGCTGGCATGATAATGGAAACAGGAACTCAGTGCAATTAATTATATCTTTTGTCATAAACAGGGTACCCCTTTCAGAATCCCAGTGGAACACCCCTACCCAAATCCTGGCAGAGTACCCCCCGGGTATTAAACCCTTTGTTGCACAACTACCATCATACATATAGATTTAAGGAATGTATGTATTTGCAAATAATTTATAGGGTACAAATAGATTGTTGTTGTCGTAGTTAGGATAAATCTTGATTTTCAGAAAATATAGTCAAGACACATTTTAGTTAGACTGAGTTTCTATGGCATCTATATGCATTAATATGCATACCATAGCTTGGTCAGCCAGCCTATTCCTTTCCTAATGTCATTCTGGACAGTGATTGCTTAGAAAGTGTGGTATTTCAGAGTACAAGAGTTAGACTGTATAAGGTAGATGTATCTTAGCCTTTCCTGATAAGATTATTAATTCAATACATCAGATATCATTAGTCTCATTTAATTTTACATGCACATTTTTTTCCAGAATATTGTCATGGAAGTCTCACCCTTGAAATTTTTGAATTGTGAAAGAAAAGATTTTAAAAGGTAATATTATTAACAAGTGAAATTTCTACCATAATTTTTCAAATCACTAATTGCATGCATTTATACCAAGTAATTAAGCATTGAAGTGATTATCGGTGAATAGTGCAGTTTTCGTATGACTGTGAAAGGTCCACGGCATGAACATGGTCGTGACACAGCAAGGGATACGCCAGACAAATCACATTGCACAAGAATTTACTCTCTGTCCAATAAAATACCTGGAACATGGCATAAACATGGCATGAACACAGTCACGCCAAGATCATGGCACTTTTAGACCAATCATATTGCTCGTGAAAAAAAATCAGTCAATTAAAATTCTAGAAAGTATCACGGTCACGGCATGCAACGCTTATGGCATTGAGCTTTTCACAGTCATACAAAAACTGCACTATTTAGTGAGCTGTGAGTCTTCGAGCAGCAAGGTAAACATTCACCATAAACTGGGCCTGAGGCTGGGAATAATTGTTTTAATGTCATCTTAAACTTGAATATCAGAGAAAAGACAAAATTCAGGATAAGAATATTGTTTTAGTATTACTTCCTCTCCCAGTGCACGAATCTCTATATTTGTTTCTAAAATTATGCTATTTTTTTAATTCTACCTTTCAGTGATACAGAAACAGGAAACCCAGAGCTGTGGGTTGCATTAGATGAAGTTCAGGTCAGCATATTACTATCTTGGTTTGCCTGTTTTCCTCCCTTCACTCACATTGAGGCTTGCTCTATTAATTCTACTGTCATTGTCTCACAATCACTGAAATGGCTTATTATATTTCTGCAATTTTACAATCTAATCACAACGCAAAGTTACAGCTATGGTAAAAAACCAGTACAGCTACAAATTTTTCATATCAATTCGCACTCATATGAAAATTGTCACAATCCACAAACATCTCAAACTTTTTGTAATCTCAAACTTGTGGCCTTGTCTAGAGAACTTGGGTCAATGTTACACTGCAATACCATTTAACCTGGAATCAGGAACCTCTAATATTTCAAGCCTTTTCCTTGGTCCCAAGAAGGTTTGAGATAATGAGACTCAACTGCATGTACTTTCAATCAAGGATGTGGCAAGGGGAGCAAATTGCAAAATTGCAAAATTGTTCAAAGAAGTACTTCCTGGTATTTTTTCAGTTTTACTACAATAGGGGAAGGTTGTCAATTGGGACGCAAGTCCTGTATCCTCCTCCTGTCACGTTTTATCATAATAGCCTACTTCTTTTTCACTATTTTTTCCTTTTTATCTCTATATAACTATATTTAGCTCACTTAATTTATTTGATCACATATTGTAACCTCAGGTTGTAAATAGTGACAAATAAAGTACTCTAAACTAATGCCCCCCCCCCGCCCTTCAAAAAAAAGCTTTCACTAAAAATCCTAAATTTTCCTTTTTTCCTAATTTATTGGGCTTTCTGTGGATTTGGCAGGAATTTTAATGCCAAAATGTCTGTTCTCTGGTACCCTTGCTTACACCACTACTTTCAATGGGTGGTCAATTTCTGGTCCAAAACATAAGATAAGAACCATTACTTTCCATTAACAAAAGATACATGACACACTCTTTAATCTATGCCATAACCTAACAATTTACATACTTGTTTTTTTTCTATAGGATCCGATGAATTTTGGTGCAATTCTTAGAACAAGTTTCTTATTAGGTGTATCGGGAGTTGTAGTGCCTCAACGTAACAGGTTTGACAGACTAAAAAAGACTGGGAGAGACTGAGTACTAAAGCTACTTTCAATTTTTTAATCAATGAGATCTGAACATGCAGTGTTAACAGTTGGTTTTCTTACCACCCTGCATGCAACTAGTTTTTATTTCAAGGAACTCAAGGGTGGTGTAGTGTGTAGTAGTGCACTTGCATCTCACCTCCTGGGTCTCAGATTAAATTCCTGAACATCACATGTGAGTAGAGGTTTTGGTCTGTCCATTTATTTCACTCAGGTATTTTCTTTATTTTTTCTCTCTTCACAATATTTCAGTGTGAGTTGTCTGTGCCCTGACTTGGAAACTTTGATCATCCCTGAGATCATTTTAGGGTTTGATTCCTGAAACCATGCCCTGACTTAGATCAGCCCAGAGGTTATTTCAGGGTTTGATTTGTGAGTTAGCCGTGCCCTGACTTAGATCAGCCCAGAGGTTGTTCAGGGTTTGATCTGYGAGTTAGCCATGCCCTGACTTAGATCAGCCCAGAGGTTGTTCAGGGTTTGATCTAAGAGTTAGCCGTGTCCTGACTTAGATCAGCCCAGGGGTTGTTCAGGGTTTGATCTGTGAGTTAGCCATGCCCTGACTTAGATCAGCCCAGAGGTTGTTCAGGGTTTGATCTATGAGTTAGCCATGCCCTGACTTAGATCAGCCCAGAGGTTGTTTAGGGCTTAATTTGTGAGTTAGCCATGCCCTGACTTAGATCAGCCCAGAGGTTATTTCAGGGTTTAATTTGTGAGTTAGCCATGCCCTGACTTAGATCAGCCCAGAGGTTGTTCAGGGTTTAATTTGTGAGTTAGCCATGCCCTGACTTATATTAGCCCAGCGGTTGTTTCAGTGTTTGATGTCTGGTTTCTTTTTTAAGTGCCCCTCTATCTCCTGTGGTTAGCAAAGCCAGTGCTGGTGCCATGGAGATGATGAATATCTTTCAAGTATCTCACCTACCATCGTTTTTGAAAGTAAGAAAACTAATTTACTAAAGGTATTGTTCTCTAGTTATGATATGACATTGTAAATAAATAACTGTTATAAATCTCACGATCTGATTGGTTGGAGGCACATGCTTTATGAGAGCTTACAGAACGCATGTGCACTTTTACTTAAGTCATTCCTATCTAAAATAACAGTTACTGTAATTTGTATTTCATAAAAGAAATAAATACTTGCTTGCTGTGAAACGTGGAGTCATGAAGCTCTTGGGGATTGGCAGAACACTCGAGATACACTCAACACTTATATTCACTTGAGAAGTGTTGAGATGCACTCGACTGCTATGCTTCATGCTTCTACTAACATTTCTCTCATGTTCTGCCAACCCCTGGTGTGCTTTATAACTGCAAACAGCATGGGTGTGCATTTTCTATTTCTTCATTATTTCATTATGTTATCTGGAATATTGAATTTCCATCCATTTTTTTTCCAGGAGAGAGCTAATGAAGGATGGGATATACTGGGCTCTGTTTCACCAAATTCAGCTGAAGAATCAGAAGAAAAGCCTCTAGACTGCACTAACTACGAAATACATAAGACTGCTGTTCTGGTCTTAGGTAACATATTATTTATTATGTATCTAAAAGATCTAAATATATTAATGTTTTCTGTTGTATCACTGTGTGAGTTAGTCTCCTACGCAGCTGCTATTTGTGCCGTCACGCAACGCTCACACCCCTAAGTAGCTGAACTCAAAATTTGTAGCCTGCGTCACATCCGGAATTTTCTTATTTACGAAGAAAATTCCAGATGTGACGCAGGCTAAAAATTTGTGTTTCTGTAAAATATCTACATGTAGTGTCCTACGCAGCCGCTGTTAGTGTCGTCACGCAACGCTCTGTCCTCTAAGTAGCTTAGGATAGTGAGCGTAGCATGATGACACTAATAGCGGCTTCGTAGGAAACTATGTGTGGGTCAATCACAACAGAACTAGCCTCCAAACTATATTTAAAACGTAAGGATCAAATTGACCAAATTTTAAAGTTGATTTTTGCAGAGATATTTGGAGAACTGGAGAAAACCCTAGTAAACCCACTAAAGATACAGTAATGATGAAAAGGTAAATTATACACCGTGAAAAGATGAAAAAACTTACTGACGTTTCGGACGCTAGTCGACGCTAGACTAGCATCCGAAACGACAGTAAGTTTTTTCATCTTTTCACGGTGTATAATTTACCTTTTCATCATTACTGTTTCATTAGAAACACCGACGCAGCTCTCACTGGTTTTTAGCTAGTTATGTCTTCTTACCACTAAAGATACATAGCCCGGCATTTGAATACAGGTTGCATCAGTAAGAGGTTTTTCATTAGCAGCGCAAACCATGCACCCATGCTTCCCACAGTGGCAGATCAGGGTGTGTAGTGGAGACATGACCCCCCCCCCCTGACTTGATTGTATAGTTTGGATAAGTAATTGACAAAATATAAAAGTACTAATGTTATTAAGGGTATTTTTATTCGGCAAATTTCAGCCACTCAAACAAACCTCCTGGTTGCGTCCTTATTCCAGTTCTTGCAGATGACTGGTCTTCTTTATCAAAATAAATATTGTTGCCTTTCAGGGAATGAAGGAATTGGTTTACAAAGTCAAGTACTTCAGCACTGTACGCGCCTGATTTCAATTTTTCCGCCATCGTTGCAGCCATCATCTTTAGTCGGCCCTGACTCGTTGAATGTTTCTGTGGCAACAGGTTTAGAATTTATAAGCTATTCCACCAACCCCATCTTAGACTTGCTCCAATTCTCGCTCTCAAATTCTTTCCCCCGTTGCAAACCCAGTCTCGTGTCCAAAGCTCCTCGGATTCAAATAGCGCACTTCCGGTTACGACGACTTTGCTAAGGCGATCGCTCGGCTTCTCGTTTCCTACGCTCCATTCCCCTCGGAAAGCTGTCGTAGCCAGCGAAGTGCACTATTTTAATTTTAATTTTTAATTTAGAATTTCCGAATAAAACTTGCAGGAGCAAGTCTAACCCCACCTTCACCAATGTCTGTTCGAGACATCCTCTTCTACTTTGCCTTATTTCTGTCTGGGTGCCAATGCCAAAGGAACAAAAAAAAATCAAATCCTACGAGTCTCGGCCTACGACTAAAACTGTTTTTCATATTGACCCGGGAGTCGGTTTCTTTCACACGAATAACGTCTTACATTATAGAGCTCTGATGGTCAGTTTTTGGGGAGATTTCCCTTCACAAAAAAGCGAACTGAATTTGCTGAAGAGATAACTAGCTAAAAACTAGTGTGAGCTTCGTCGATGTTTGCAATGAAACAGTAATAATAAAAAGGTAAATTATACACCGTGAAAAGATGAAAAAACTTACTGACGTTTCGGACGCAATCATCTTTATGATATTCACAATAACGATCCCACCAAACCAGTTTCCCGCCATTTCAATCTAGCTAACCATTTTCTTTCTGACTTCATTGTTTTCGGTCTTTCTTTGATTAACGGCAACAATGATTGTCGCAAGACCAAAGATATGCGGCTTATTCACCTATTGGGCACTCTTAGTCCCAACGGGATTAATGAACGCTTTGCTTTCAACTAACCCTTTCTTTTGTCTTTTGATTGTTTGTTTTTGTTTCCTTGCATACCTTGTTCTCTTTGGTTTCTTTTGTATTACTCTATCATATAAACACTCCTTTCTACCACCTCTTTCTCTTTTACTCCGACGAAGGACTAGCGTCCGAAACGTCAGTAAGTTTTTTCATCTTTTAAATAAATAAATATATGAATAATAAACATTTTATTATTATTATCTTTTCACGGTGTATAATTTACCTTTTTATCATTACTGAATTTGCTGAGCTTTTTCTCTTTATAGCTCGGTAAGAGTCGGCATCGACGTTTTCTTCGTTATATTCAAATGAGCCTCCATTTTTAACAACTTCTTTGGACTGATAGGATCCCAAATCGACTCAGAAGCAGCTCTAGCTCCTTATCTTACAAAATACTTCTCGCTTGATTACAGATTATCACGCAAAAATTTTATTCCCTAATTTTCCATCATATTTTTGGTATTTTTGCACGTATATAGTTATAATATAATAGTCAAAGTTAGTGATTCGTGTTTTCCTCGTAATTTCGTCACAACACATCAAAATAACTTCGTTTTCTTTTCCAGGAATTCTCGTCTTTTCTTTGATGAAAAACCTGGTCAGCAAAAGCCAAAAGTAATTCCTGTCATGGTCATCTTCAATGCTTGTTATTGTTAGTTTTAATGAGATTTCCGCTTCGATAGATACCATAAAACAATAAAGATTTTTTTCACAACTTCCCGGTGTTTTATTCAGCCCTTCTTCTCGAAGCGGCCAAGCGAATATCTTGTGTATGAAATTGTGAAATTGCATCTAAAAAGATAAAAAGTTTGCTACATTATGATGATCATCAATGTGACATACAGATAAGGTTTCCAARTGTGTCTGACCCCGAGTCCATATTTTCTACCACGGTCCAATTTTTCTACGTCCGGTACTTCCATGTTTTCTCGGGTTCAGTCCAGTCCAGTCCAGTTCATGTTTTAGATCATGACCCGAAAAGTGGGGTGGGTGTGGGCTTTTATCGGAAGTTGCAGAGACAAGCGCTTGTTTTACGTGATGTGTTATTTTGACTAATTAAAGCCTGACCACTAAGATTGGCAGGCATTGTTTTGGATATGCATGATCAAAGGTCGGCAAACATGTCCTGCCGCCGACAAATGAAATCGGCTTGACTCGAAAACAAAAGACGTAATTACTGGTAAACAAATTCTCACGGCAATAGCTTTTGATGGTCCCTCTTTGGATGGTTAGATTTTCGGTAAGATGGATTAAAGTTTGCTAGATCATATGGTCTTTCAAAAGAATGTGGGTGTTTTTTTCACTTTGGTACTGAATAATGTCACGTCAATCACTTTTTTTGTGAAATCGTATACCTTGTTTCCGTTTGCAAAATTGTGGCTAATTAGACCGTGACTAGACACTGCCCAGCCTCTGTAAACAGTATTACTAGCAATATCTATGTCAACTTACTAAGGAAAAGTTTGACTTTCGTGAATTTCAAACAAAGTTTACCAAACTAAACGAGCAAGTATATTATTACTATACATAAATTTATTCTTGGGATCCAGATCGCGGAATTGCCCTTCTTTTTCCGAAAGAAATAGACACACTTTTGGAATCGGCCATCCGATCCTTCTGTCAACCCCCACCCCCATTAAAAAACCTGTCGGTCGTTAGGTCGGTTTTCACAGACCACTCGAGTCCTAGACCAGATATAAAGATAACATCGACTTCTTGTCATTTTTGGTTGAATATCGATAATAACCATCTCCCGCGCATTTTATTATGGTTACGAGATCACATGTAAAGTTAGTAGGTCATCTGTCACGTTCCTAAGCGTTTAAACCAATGATAAGGCTAGAAGTGGTCACGTGGTGTTGTCGAGCATGTGGTTCAGTAGTGGAGAGCAAGTCACTAGTGCGGGGAGAGACAGACAGGCTTGCAGAACATCGTTCAGGTTAGAAAGGTTTTTCTCCTTTTTTTTCTTGTTAATCCTCGAAAAATTCACTACTTCAAGTTCATTCATTAACTCTCCTAAGCTTTCCTTAATAATTTCTTAACTTTTAATTTAAAAAAGAAAGCTTTTCGATAGGATTTAGTCGCTGATTTGAGAATCATGCAGCAGCTTTCATTGTTTTGCGGGGTTTGTTTTATTTTGGAAGTCTTGCTGTGCAAAAAAGACCTGTATTAGTATCCACCTAAAGTTATCAATCGTTTTTAAGAATTAAGTATTAAATTACTAAGTACGATAGATGGTTTTCTAAAGATATTTTTGGTTACTTTAGCAGCTTTCATTTTATAGATGAGCGTTGAAGTTCACACCTTGACAGAAAAAGCTAAAAAACGTGCTTCTCGTTTAAACATGCTTATATGAGCAAATAAAGATGATATTTTAGAGTGATTCATACTAAATTAAACTCTTCTGAAGATGTTAAAGCAAGTTTCGTGAGACTTAGTCAAGATTTATTCTTAAATACTTGGAAGCTCTTTTGCTTGTCAGCCATTATGAAAAGCTGTTGTTTTGTCATTATAGACTGTTCCATTGATCTTAATTTCAAAAAAACTATCTATATCGCATTTATGCAAGTTTAATAGTAAAATATTTTAAAGTTGATTTTTTTTTCATAGACGACTTKAAGAGAGGAGCGAAATGACGGGGCGCGCGAGAGGAAGGAGTAGGGGACGTGGAAGAACTGAAGCTCCACCACCAGGAGCTGGAGATGCAGCTAGAAGACCAGGCGAAGCTGCTACAGCTGCCCCAGTTGGAAGAGGTAGAGCCAGAGGACCTCCATCGGACTCGGTTGTTGCTCCACAAGCTGCTGTGGCCCCTCCAACTTCTGAAATGGCAAAGATGGCAGTGAGAGAGCCTCCACGTGGTGAACAACGTGAAGAACGACCGAGAGGGATGTATAGTGAACCAGTGACCCGTCCTGAGGGTCTAAACAAAGAGGGTTCTACAGGGACTAGAGTACAGATCGTCACAAACGCGTATAAATTAGAAACGCGACCTAACTACATGATATATCAGTATAATGTAGGATTCTCCCCGGAGGTAGACTTCAAGAAAGTCCGAATAGGGTTGATTAGTGATCAACAACAGCTCCTTGGCAGTGTCCGAGCCTTTGACGGGATGACATTGTTTCTACCAAAAAAACTACCAGATCCGATAACAAAGATCGTTGCAACCAGGAGGAGACGTGATAATCCAGAAGGGGAGCCAGTTGAGATCACTATAACCCTGACGAATGAACTGCCAGCATTGAACCCAACCAGTCTCCATATTTACAACATCGTCCTCAGAAAGTAAGAAACAGTAAAGTTTATTTAGATGTCACATGTAGTATTTACAGTTAAAATTTATGTGGTATCCATATAATACATTTTATAAATAAAACTATAGTAATCGTTAACAATCGCATCTAATTTATTAGATTCATTATTTCATTTTGATGCTTTTTAATGATAGATAATTTAGAAAATTAAGTCATTATAAAAGCCAGATAATGGCTAACGGTAACTCTGTGAATACCGTGTGGAAAAATTTTTTTCCTTGGAGTATAAATTTCAGTGTCTTAGGGGATGTCCTTGTTTTTCAGGATTCTCAAGATCCTCAACATGAAGCAAGTTAGAAGGGATTTTTACTCTCCAGACCAAGCTGTCAATATTCCTCAACATCAGTAAGTTATTTTTCTTGGTTAAAGGRTCAAGCCTGGTCCTCACTAGGGACATAAGCATAAGAGTGTACATCCTCACTTGGAAAAAATTCACTTGAAAAAGCATGAGAAGAATGGAACGTTTTTATCCTTATGCTTATGTTGTAGTGAGTGAGGACCAGTTTGTGAGGTCTTTATTTAGATTGTGAGTTAACCATGCTCTAACTTTCATCAGCCCCAGAGGTTGTGTGAAACTGCATTGGCTGTCATCACTGACAGCTCTCATGCCTTGTTGAACATTTGTCACGTAGTGAATAAAATTACTATTTACAAATTTTAGCCATATATCCAGAATCCTTAAATTAAAAGTTAAAATCCCAAAGAAACTAACACTAGGAACAACAATGTATTTATGCAGCTTAATTCAGTTGTTTTTTSTTATTTCTAGCTTGGAGCTTTGGCCAGGATACCAGACTTCAATTCAGAGGTTTGAAACAGACATTCTACTCAGTGCCGATGTGTCGCATAAAATCCTGAGAAACCAAACAGTATTAGAGGTCCTATATGAGATGTACAACCAGGATCAAAGGAACTTTCATGCCAATGCTAAAAAGAAGCTTATTGGACAGATTGTACTCACAAGGTAAGAGACACCAAAGTGTATACAGGGTTTTCATTAAGTTTTAAAATAACAGGATTGAGAAGATTATGAACTGCCAGAGAGATCCTGAGGACCAACTAAACATTTTACGAATTTTTAAGCTATAGAAAGTTCAACTACATTTGACTAAATATCAATTGAGTTATGAAAGACCAAAGTCATAGTGTTTTGGATGCCTTTATAGACTTGTTTCAATGTATTTTGTATCTGGTCGAGGATTTTTGACTTGAGTAGTTTTATAGTAGCTGCCATCATAACAGAGGTTTATTTATGGTACTTTCAGTTGGAGAATTTTGCTCATTTAATGAAGCATTCTCCACTCCCAGAACCTTAATGAAAACCTTGTGTATATACATAATGAAGCAATCAAAGCAGCATTCTTTCACCTTTCTCACAAGGGTTTGGGAAATATGTTCTATCAGAAATGCTTCTGAATGTTACAATTCTACCCAGCCAGTAATAATCTTTTGGCAGTGAGAACTATCTCAGCTTATTCCCAGTTATCATATTCTTACAAACTTGGGGAAGCAGTCATGGTGTAGTGGTAGTCCATATTTATTAAACTTTTGTGAATCAAGGGTGGTGTAGCAGTAGTGCACTTTCTGCTCATCTCTTGGGTCTGTCTAGAGTTTGATTCCTGACGAGGAATATCATATAAGCAGAGTTTGTTTCATCCTTGATTTTAGGGTTTTTTCTCCCTTCTCAAAACCTAACAAACTAAATATTCCAATATATATATTAGCCATGCCCTGACATTCATCATCTTGGAGGTTTCAGGCTATCAATAAAATTTGAAGGTTTTTTAACTTAAATAATAGTTTAAACACTTTTATTGTCTTATTCCAGGTACAACAACAAGACCTACCGAGTAGATGACATTAATTGGGATCTGAGACCTCATCATAAGTTCTCAACTTCACGTGGAGAGATAAGCTATATTGATTACTATGCAAAGGTAAATATATCTTTAAAAAGATTAATTTGATGTTTAAATTGAATAGTGAATACATTGTTTTATCTATTTTAAGGCCTATGATAAGCAGATAGCAGACATGGAGCAACCAATGTTGATCAGCAAGCCCAAAAAAGTGGTATGTAATGTTATATTGTCATTACATTCAAGCTCACTCATGTGTTCCTATGGAGCTTCAAATATTCAGTTTATTATTCAAAGTTTGGTTTCTATCTTGCTTTGAAACTTGCATTACTGAAACAAACATGATAAATATCAATCCAGGCTGATCTTCATATGTTCATTTATGAATAGTTTTTTTAATCTTACTACACAGTTCAATTTAAAATGGCAGCTACATCTGTACAAATAATTTTGGCTTTGCAAAAAACTGTGATGAACTAAATAAACTTTTACTTCGAGCCCAAATTTGAAATTTGCAACTTTTGTTTCATTAACGCATGTTCCAATGTAAGATGGAAATCAAATTTTATATAGTACACTGAATGTTTGAAATTTGATAGGAACTCATGAGTGTGTTAAACTTTACAGCTAAGAAATAAATGATCATTTCATTAATTGATAAGAGATGAGAGACTTTTAAGGCCAAGACAAGCATTGCATAGCATTGTGGTTGACTAAGATTCTTTAAGAAATCATTCACCAATTAATTTTCATGCAGTCATTACATATTATAACATAACTAAGATATAACACGTGCTCTGATTGGTTAACCACCTATGAAGAAAAAATGTATGGAGCACACTGGTGACGTCAAGTTGGTGAAAATTCAGTGAAAATTACAAGCATTCAAATAAAACTAAAAAAGACTACTAACTGGCCTACCTTTCTCGGCTCCACCTCGTGCAACTCTTACACTACCATCGTGCTCTCCCAACTATCCGCGTGCACCATTAATAGATTTACGCACGCTAAGCATTGACCATTGCTCAGGTGTGCAGTCTAGCAATAAGCTATATAGCACTGGTCAAGTGCTGTTAGTTATGAAAATTATTTCTGCTTACGTAAGGAACTGCTATCAATTCAAGGTAAAAAGAAAACTTTTCTTTGTTTTTACAGTTTGGAAAGAAACCGAAGCCTGATGAGACAATTCATCTTCTTCCTGAGCTTTGCTACATAACTGGTACTTGATTTGTTGTTTTATGCTGCACAGTAATATCTCATGCACTTAATTTGAATTATATTTAATATGAATGTTATTGTGTTGTGTGTAGGTCTGTCTGACGAAATGAGAGCTGATTTCACTGTGATGAAGGATCTTTCTGCACATACCAGAATTGCACCAAAAGACCGTAGCAATCAGCTGAATAAGTTTATCAACAACATAAACAGGTATTACATTTGTATGTAATTTAGTAACTAGATATTTGCTTGCTATTCTTGCTTTAAAAAATGAAATATGTCTGGGAAGAGAGGGAAGAAAAATTTTTTGTAAGGGTAAGTTCCCTGCTGGCATTTATTTTGGAAGAAGGTCTAACATTCTAAGTACATTTTTGTATGTGAATTTTGATTTCTATTTTTACTGCCCGCTTAATAACTGCAGAGCTGGACTATTCATAGTTTTAGGTAATATTGACAAAGGGCTTTTATCAAGAGCTCCAGAAAATACTGATTATAAATTTCTTTATTATTTTAGCAATGCAGAAGCCAGCCAACAGCTTCAGGGCTGGGGCTTGCAGGTAAGAAAATGCAAACTGTTGTTAAAGTGATATATTGGTTAATGCTGTTTGTTTTATCAAATGCTAATATTTTTTTTCCAATCTAGTTTGGGAGGAGTCTGCTCAACCTAGAGGGGCGTGTCTTACCAACAGAGAAGATCTACCAAAGAAACAAATCAGTAAGTAGTTACTGTAACACATGTATCATGCAGTCACTGTACTCTTGGTATCACTTAATGTCATCCCTTATCTCATGCAGGAAGATAATCACAATCAACATTTTCACTAGCATTGTTTCTGTATCATCACAAAAGACTGTTATCAGTTGATTAAAACCCAGAAATTGCATAAATTATTTCTTGTAAATAATTTATACAGATAATTCACACACACACACTTTTATCCTTGTATAAAGGTTTTTTATTATTATATTCTTATTTAGAGCTCCTACGATCCTAAGTCTGCTGACTGGAGCAGAGAGACAAGAGGAAATGCTCTTCACTCAACTGTAAACCTAGAAAATTGGTTGATTGTTCACACCAGCAGAGACAGCAACATTGCTAATGATTTCAAGTCAACGATAGAAAGAGTCTGTGGACCAATGGGCATGAAGGTCTTGAAGCCAAAAATGTGAGTTTTTAAAAAAAATTATATTATACTCTGTTCATTGTGCAATGTTCACTTTACTYTCTTAATGCCTTGCCTCCCATGGATGTATATATAAGAGCTACCTCAAGTTCAAGTACTTCTGTATGTAATGTGCTTGATCACTCAAGCAGAATATTAAAATTTGGCTGTTGGTAGTGGAAGTGCAATGCAGTATGTTTTCTAAATGTTATTCTTATGTTCCAGGATTGCTCTTGAGAATGATCGAACAGATACTTATCTCAGAGCTCTGAAGAATGAACTAGATGCAAATAGACCACAGATAGTGACCACCATTGTACCAACAAATAGGAAAGATCGATATGATGCAATTAAGAAACTGTGCTGCCTTGAGAAACCAGGTATACTAGTTTCACTATTACTATATGGAAGTTACAAGTTTGGGGATATTGGGAGTGACAAAATGGTGCAAAAAGCAATGCTCATGACTCTTCTAAGTTGCAGTCAATCCCAAATAAAACATTGTAAATGAAATTATTTCCTTTAATATGGGAAGCACAAATTTGCATAGCACTCTCCTCTTAACTATTGCAACCCATGTTTGATTCAGTGTCATGTTATTAGTGTTGGTTCTCCCCTGTGCTTTGGGGGTTTTCTCTGAATTCTTCAGTTTTTCTTACTTCTGCTAAAATCAACTTCTAAGTTCTAAATGGAATCCACAGGAAGAAAAGCCACTCTAGAATCTCTGTTCATTACTATTTGTTTATTTTTTATTCCTTTTAGCCTCAGCGTATATCATCCCCTTTATTTTAATTTGTGGTTATTTCTTTAGTTCCATCACAGGTGATAGTGAGCAGGACCTTATCAAAGAAACAAATGTTGATGAGTGTTTGTACCAAGATTGGCATTCAGCTTAATTGTAAGCTTGGTGGAGAGGCCTGGGCATTAGAAATTCCAGTAAGTACTCGTTGATCTACAGAACCAAGAGAAATCTCTTCACTGTAAGAGATCGTTGGAATTTCAAAGAGATTTTATTGTTAAAGTTGTGACTGTTGGTATTTGTGAATATTTGGACATATGGCTAACCCTAAAATTTTCATTGTTTTCTCTATTTGCTTTGCTGAGAATTTTTTAAATTTCATTTGCTTTTCCTCAGCTCAAAGGACTGATGGTGATTGGTGTGGATACTTACCATGACTCTGCTGAAAAGGGAAGATCTGTTGGAGGATTTGTTGCCAGTCTCAACCAAACTTTGACAAGGTGTGTATTGCAAAAAATATTGCATTGTTCCTGTCTTATAACATGGTCACTGTAAAACTATGCATAACTTTGCATAGCTCAATAGAGTGTGTATGTTGCTATTTTTACAGTGGAGACCTGCTATCTCAAACTTGAGGCTATGGTCTGTGCATTCATTACACCCTGAATATTTCAAACCCACATTCCCTGTTGTTTGGAACAATTTCCCTGGTCCCTAGGAAGTGCAGTACATTAGTATTGTTTATCCTTCTTGAAAGAAATTCTTTTCTTGACAATTCAGATATTATTCGAGATGTACTTTCCAGCACAGTGGACAAGAACTGATYGATGGTTTGAAAGTCTGCATGACAGGTACAGCATATACATACTGAAATCTTTGTGATCATTTTCCTCATCCATTTCCAAAACATTTCACAGCATATAACCATTGATTGATTTCTCTTTTTGTGTTTGTCAGCTGCCCTGCGCAARTATCAAGAGATCAATGGCATGCTTCCTGACAAGATCATTATGTACAGAGATGGTGTGGGTGATGGACAACTGCAACTTGTTATTGAGCATGAAGTCAGCCAGTTGATTCAGTGCTTCAGGACCATTCAAGCTGGGGCTGAGTACAAGTAAGCAGTATAATATAGCCAATACTGTTTGATGCAAGCCAACTCCTAACATGCATTTGTTCTTTTCATGGATAGACCCAAGTTTGCAGTAGTGGTTGTTAAGAAGCGCATCAACACTCGTTTGTTCCTGAAAGACCCACGGGACACCAACATGACAAACTTGAACAACCCACCTCCTGGAACTGTTGTGGACACAGCAGTCACAAAACCAGAGTGGTAAGTTTTGGTATCCATGAGAAGGGAGTAATAGCTTATCTGCACCATGTTCAGAGGAGAGGTAAAGGAAAACCTGGGCAGTTAATTTTCTTCTTWAAAAAAAACTCTTGCTCTGATTGGTCAAAAAACGAAACATGTTTGATTGATGTAATATTTCAAACACTTGAGAGAGTTCTTCCTCTGATTTCCAAACACCGAAAAGTGAGTTGAAAAAACGAGGCGCAGCCGAATTTTTTTAACTGACTTTGAGGTGTTTGGAAATCGGAGGAAGAACTCTCTCAAGTGTTTGAAATTACTTCTCAAACTAATGAATATTTCTTGGAGAAAATCAAAGAAAAAGTTCACGAAATTTAAGTATCAAAGACGCACATGTTTTTTTCTTCATGCATGCTCTGATTTTGATAATTGTTAGAGGAAAAAACTTTTAATTTTTTTTAACGTGTAGTGATTTCGAGCTTCTCATTGGTTTTCTCAGCATCCCAAGCTTTTTGTTCAGCATCAAATGCTAAAAAAAAACTGTTTTGTATTACCTTATTTTTGTTTTTTGTTGTTGTTGTTGCTTATCAAGCATATGTGTTTATCTTTTTCTGTTGGTTATCTTTTCCTAGGTTTGATTTCTTCCTCGTTAGCCAGTGTGTTCGTCAGGGAACAGTAACACCAGTCCACTTTAATGTCATCTATGACTCAACAGSTCTTAARCCTGATCATTTCCAGAGACTCTCCTACAAACTTACTCATCTGTATTACAATTGGCCGGTAAGATCATTTCTATCAGTTTTCAATAGCTGACTCATTAAGCTCTGTTAAACAGCATCTTTTTTCTGTAACTGGTATCACAATGATATTTTATGTTACATGTAACAATGGTTCCTGCAACGTACCTCACAATGGCATTTCAGAGATGTGATAATAATTTGATAAAAATATTACTTATTATCTCATTAGTTATGTTATATGTAACAATGGTTCCTGCAACGTACCTCACAATAATCCTGAAGCGAGATGACGTTTTACCCCCGACTCTACCATAATAGTTTTTAAAATTCTTTCACATTAAAATTTTTGATTCCTTAGAGAATACAGGAACAATAGTCATAAATAAAGAACAAAAGCAATGTGAAAAGGATCTTTGGGACCAATGGTGGTATGGGCAAGGAAAGCCAAATTTTCCTAAAAACTCTAGCGGATAAACTGGCGAACAAAACTGGACAAAGCTATTCTGACACAATAACATATATTGTCGTTTGAGATTTTGAAAGCTGTAATTACATGCATTAGAGGCTCCCGCACTCCTTTTTATAAGAACAACGAAAGTGACTTTCTATTGGACTTTAGCATTAATACTAACCTTGCCGATATTAGATAATTTTAGACTTTTTTATAATGCTTGTTTTTCATTTTGTTTTTTTCTAGTTTTTTTGTAAATAGTAACTTTTTCTCTTTAAATTTTCACAAAGTACATAATGTAAATATTCTTTATTATTATTATTTTTTTAAATGATTTACAAACTTATTGTTATAATTACATTATTGTTACAACTGAAAAAAAATTTTAATGTGAAAAGGATTATGGTCTAGAGACGGGGGTAAAATTTCATCTTGCTTCAGGCTTATGGAATTGCAGAGATGTGATAATAGTTTGAAATACTAATCATGTCAATAGTTGTGAATTTGATTGATTGAAAAGTGAAAAATTTAAAAAATGGGCACCATCTGGTAAAGCATTCTTTACCAATTTCAGTGTCTCATTAGTTCTTAATGTTCTTCCTTTGAATTTATTTTCACAGGGAACTGTCCGAGTCCCTGCTCCATGTCAGTATGCCCACAAGCTGGCATTCCTTGTTGGTCAGTCATTGCACAGGGAACCAGACCAGTCTCTTTCAGACAAGTTATTCTTCCTTTGAAGCTGTCTATCATGACAAGAGATGCACATCATGTTGCAGAGAGAAGTGCAGTATTGCACCAATGGCTGTTTATTAACACTAACCATCATTTGTTACATTACGTTACATTTAACCTGTCGTTATGTTCAGTTCATACTAGCAAACTAAGATGAGAAGGGTTCATCTTGTTTCATTCTTCCAGAACAACGTTTCATGATTACAAGAAAGTTTCTATATTCCATGACATTTTTTCGTTTTCTTAGTAAATCAGGAATATGGAGGATTTTTTTATTCTTGTTATTCCTAAACATACATTTGAGAAACAGTTCCAAAGGGAATTTCATTTTAACCCATTATTAGTCATTATTATATGGTTGGCAAGGATAGATGATGTCAATGGAATCAGTGTTGACAAAATCAGATTACTACATCGGTTAAATGAAACCATTATGAGATGTATCCATATGTTGATCATTGAAGAAAGGATTTAGTATACTCATTTGAGTTCATTCAAAATATTAGTTATTTTCAAATACGATAGATTTAATTACTAACAATTGTTCAGAACTATGACATTTAGTTGATAAATTCTATGATTAAAAAGATATTTTGTTATAGAAGTAGTTTGATTTGCTGAATATCTCCTTTCACACTATAATATAAATGATTCACGAAACTATAGAATCCCTAATCAAGAATTTTGTTTCATTGCATTCAAAAGAAATGGTCAATTCCTAACTGAAATTCCTGTCAAGTCTTTTCATTTCTTTATAACGATTTTTTCCCCCAGAAATTCTCGTTTGGGATCTTCACAATAGCGCAGCGTAACCGTGACGTTATAAAAACGAAGACAGGCGAAACTCGGACAAACAAACTTACAAGTTTACTTTCAGCAGATAACTTTTACAGCCGATCGCAGTGGATCTTAGTTTACATGGGCTATTATTGTAAGTAAAATTAATAAAATCGGTTCGTATAATCCTCGTAGCGTTTAAACAGAATGCAATGTTTGTCCGAATCTTTAAGCTATTCTTAGAATCAGTGCGCTGGGCTATTGGCCTAATTCTCGATGTATGACGTCACAAAAATAGTTGCGGGACAGATTCCGCAGAAAATTTCTCGAGCACAGGAATCTAGGCCTTGAGTGGACGATTTATCGATGATGAATGGCCATTAGAGTAATACTCCTAGTTTAACTTTTGGCGTATTCCTTATCCATTAACATCAAACCACTGTTAGGCGTTCATACACAACTTTCTCGATGAAAATCTTGGTATGTCAAGCGTGTGTAGATACTTTACGTGATCTGGCCGTGCTTCCTATGGTGTTTCCTAAATGCCATAAATAGTACGGTAATCCAACAGCTATTGGAATGGAGAGAATAAGTAAAGCGATGTTTAACTGGAAAAAAAAAGAAAAATTTTATCGAACTCAGGGCGTGAACACGGCTTATTCACAGATCGAATTGGACTTTGGCATCCTAGATCTTAATTAGGAGGGCGAAGAAGCTGGAGGGGAAAAAACGGTAAAACGCAGGGTTCGTGCAGGTCCTTAAACTCCTTGAAAAGTGCTTGAATTTAAAATGCATTTTCAAAGGCACTTTAAACTCCTTGAAAAATAGAAAAACGTAGAAAAGTCCTTGAAAAAGTATCGATGAAGAAAACTTAATAAAATGTTTAAAATATATAAGCTGCCATCTTTAGCTATTTGTAGAGATTAATCGGTATCACGTGATTCAAAGAGTTTGCAGCTTCTTCAATACTTTACTCCTTGAAAAAATGTCATTTTGGTCCTTGAAAACTCCTTGAATTTTTTCATGGAATTCCTGCACGAACCCCGAGTACGTTCATGTTCTAGAAACAATAGAAGGACAATAGAAGATATAAAACAATACACAACTATACAATATATGCATTGTATTCGTCTAGAATATGAACTTATTACCAGAAAACCCCTTAGCCATGAATCATACTTCGATGAGTTTGTCCCATACTGCGTCCAAGATAATACTGAATGGGTTAAAGGCCCAATGTAAATAATGTTGAGATGCAAACATTCATAGTCCTGATTCGTAAGTCCTGTGCATTGGTGGTAAACCTAGCTCGCGCTAATACGTGCACTCGCTTTCAAGACCTAAAAGACCTTTACTAGGAAACGGGGGAATTCTACGCAAATCGAGTCCAAATTACAGTGTCAAACTTAGGAAACCGTGAAAATTCATTTCCGCATGCGATTGGTCAGAACACGATGAATAACATTCCAGACATTTTAAGGTGCTGACACACGGTGCAACATTGCATGCAACAGGACTGTTGCAGCGTGTGTCTACCCCTGAAACTTGTTGCACGCAACGTTCCATACAACAAATCTGAAGTTGAATCGCGCTCTACTCTTGCAACATTGCACGCAACAAATTTCATCGTGTGAACTGTGAACATAGCTGCAACATTTTGAAATTTCCAGCCAATCAGCTTGCATTTATAGCTACTGACCAAATATCTTAACATAGCAGGCTGACACAAGCGATGATGCGTGATTTTGTTGCAATGTGTGTCACCCCGATTCAAATTTGTTGCGCGCAATGTTGAGTGCAATAATGCACCGTGTGTCAGCACCTCAAGGCAATGGTTCAAATATCCCCCGTTAGTTAAAACGTTTCAGTTAAATGCTGGTATTTTGACTTAGTCTCGTACGCAGCTGCTGTTAGTTTCGTTACGCCACGCTCATTCGTAAATTTAAGCAACTGAGAACTCCAAACTGGAGTGTCACCCTCGATTCTGGATCGTACTGACTCACCTGAAGGATTTTACCAGGAAAATAGTTTTCCAGGATGATGAAAACTGGGTACTGAAGTATTTGCACCAGGGAACACGAAAAGTTCCCTATTCCAAAGAGCTTTCCAAAATGCTTGACTGGAAATCTAAAACAGTAATGTAATTAGATCACACTGGGAAATGTGTGCGTTAATAGTGTTTAGTAGATAACTTTGCCCTTAAATCAAACACCCCCCTCGACTCTACACCACGCACCCCTCCCCATAAAAGATACCGCCCCTTGAGCCCATCAGCGCCGGCTAAATTACGCTGTAGATGTGCCTCACCAAAAATCAGACGATCCTTCACAATAGTAGACGGTACATTTTTATCTTGCAGAATATTGTAGCTCATGTCCATCATGCAATAGTTATCAAGTGGTTAAAACATGTCTACCCATATCCCTTCCTAGTTCTTCCAAGTCACTAAATAACTTTTTTAAATAATCTTCATTTACTTACATAAGGAGAAAGAGGTTTGAGAATGCACCAGAGTAGAAACATCTCAATAATAATATCAAAATGAATGAGAATATCTGTAACGAAGAGGTACATATCAAGCGGTTAAAACCTGAGATGCCTGACTGTCATATTTAAGGTGGCTCGACCCCCTCACGCTTGACCGCTACCTTCCACTTTTGGAACGCTAGTGCATAAACGTCTTTTATCCGATTGCAAATCTTTTTTGCACATAAGTCACATAAAG